TAATGTCGTCTTATATTTAATTCCATTGTCTTTTCTTAAGTTTGATCTCCTATCAAAAAAAGTCTATCTTGTAGATCTAATTAATTTTTAACGTTTGAATGCTGAAAAAATTTGGTCATATCAAAGTAGTATCGGTACATAGTACATAAATCTGCACGTATGTGCAGTTTTGAAATTTCTGCAAGTTTTTTTGGGATTATTATTTTGGTGCAATTTTTAACAATCCACATAGTATTTTTGAGGTAAAAATTTCAATACTCATTCATTTTTATTGCAAATTTCGGAAATATATTTTTATGATGGTAAAATACTTGCAGTTCGTCTTGATGTACATATTTATATTACATCTTTGCAATCACTTTATTATACTCAACTTTATGTATATAGTTCTGCTAAGAAGTCAAAAAATATTCTTTTTAATTATGCACAGATTCAGATGTTGAATCAGGAACTGTATGCTATTTTGCGAAATTTTAATTTGTTTCATTACAGAATGCTCCATGTGTATAGTTCATGAGACAATGTGTTACTTTCTCTTCAGAATTTCGGATTATCATTTTTTAAATTATGGTCTCGATGGGTAGTGAATCCGTTCTTTCTGAACAGTTGATTAATTTGGACGATGCCATCAATGCAGTCACGAGCACTTTACTTGACGGTTTGAATAAGATAATAAAAGTTAGCAATAATCGTTATATTTGTAGAATCATTACGATAGTCTTAAAATAGCTTTTCAGTTATTTTAAGGCGAAAAATTTCATGTTATATCTGTTAATCTTATCAGAATCTATCCTTGACCATTTTTATAGTAACAGTTGTCTAAACCTGTTCACCTAAATTTTCGAATCATGCACTTTGAAAAGAATTCAGAAAGTACTTGATGAACAATTCAGACTTCTTTCTAAAATTTTTTGTTCAGTGCATACGATTTCAAAAAATTCACAATATTAAAACTGTCTTGGAATCAAAATATTACATTCACCAATTAATCATTCAGAGCTGCTTCTTAGCAGCAGAGGAATATAATCTAATTAAGTAGAACAAGTCATGTAGTGTGCTTGAAATTTTATGTCTATGATATTGCTGAACCATTTTTTTTTATTAAAAATTTTATCATTTATTTTTTTTCTCTCCTCTGTTTTGTTTTTTTTTAGACAGTCTGAAAAATCGTGTTGCAATATCTAAATAAAAGTTAGAATCTCAGTGAGGTCATATAGTGATAAGTTTATTTGAGTCACAATTACCAAGTGCTCATGTTATCACTTCTAGAATATTTCATTTATAAACTGTAAACATGACAGCAAAGTTTCAAATACTACATCTTGTTCATGTTATTTTATTGCTATCTAAGTTTCTTTTTGTATGTCAAACCTTAAGCAATCGCTATTGACAATTATTATAGATAAGCGAAGAACTTGACGCGCATAAAGGTATGGACACTTCACATAATTTTAAAACTATTTCGCGGAAACATGTACAGTGCATAGTCAAGGAAATAGATGCAGTAGTGGAATCTCTTCAAAATTCCCGCAATATTATGATAAAACGTCGTACTGATGCTCAAAATAGGTTTTCTTTAATTGTCTTCTTTTCTATTAAATTTTACAGCCATTTCCCATGACGTACAATGCAGTCAAAAATATTTTATCTTATTTGATTCTTTCCTCCCACTGGATCCGTAATAGATGGAATGAGCATCAGTGAGATGTGATACAACTCTCTTCCTTATTTTAACATAGCTGACTAAGGAAATATTGTTTGTTGAAATGGAGAGATATTTTCGCAAGCTGCAGAAATGTTCAGTGCTGAACTAATTATTAAATTTCATACAAGAGTATTATGCTGATTTTAGTTATTGCTTTGTCCTTCTTAACGTGCATATAAAGAGCATATGTAAAAGAACACTCTTTCCGGATTATATGAATACATGATCAGGTAAAAAGTAGGTTGTACTTTTTTGGGAAAATTGAAATCATATACCACATACCTGTAGTTGCGTATTCGAGTAGATGTCAGCATGGATTCTAGGAAACAGTGTGATAATTATTATTATAACAATGAATAAAAATAACAGAAAAATACATTGCAGTGACTTTCAAACTGCTAACGACGATGTTATTAATGGAATCAATGACGGAATTCAGTCAGAAGTGAATTCGTTGCACAATGAGAAGACAGATAGAATGGTAGAAGAAAATACCGATTTTCAAAGTAATGAAGAAAACTCAAGACTTTCCGATGATAAAATCACAGATTTGGTAGGAGAATTATGAAAACAAAAAACGAGCATATAAGTTCTAATTTCAGTTTTTTCTCTTACTTTACTGAAGTTGAATACTGAAAAACGTATGCGGAAAGGATGAAGTTATGATCAAGGTTTATCATGACGAGTCTCACGAAACATTAAGTTCCGGTTTTTTACATTAAAGGAAGTCAACTATTGACTAGAATTCTCTATTTTGGGTCGTTTATATTTTTAAATCACTGCTTTATAATTGAATAAGTGTGTTCCTGTAATTTGATATAAAATTCAGTCCAGACTCTTTTTGCCAGCAATTTGTAAAATCATACATGGGAAGAAAATCAATTTATGTGGTGTCTCACTCTATGTCCACTAGCCACCTAGCTATCGCTGACTCTATGTTTTACATACCGTCCCAGGGGACTCGAATAGTTATGAAATTCGTACTGGATGGGCATACTTTCGTTCTCTTATTGCTAGTTCTTTTAAAATTTTCATGCGTCTTCATGTGACGCTTTATTTTATTTTCATTTTGATGTGAGTTGCAAAATACTTAGAAATCAGCAGATTTGGTCTGTATGTGCTGTTGGGTCAATTTACAAGAATTGTGAGAGTAAAGCATATCTTTATTTTTATCTTTTCATCAAAAGTTCATCTGCCAGTGATTATGATCATTGTGGTTGATTGCAACTCAGTTATTTTGTAGTTTATTCTAGTCAGCACGTAAATTCAAGTACCTATAGGCTTAAAATTTAAATTGGACTGGAGTCTGATCACATTTATCACACATTTTTTTAGATTTAATAAGTATAAACTAATGTGAGTACTACGGCAGTGCAGGTTGTAATTTTATGTAACTACCTTATTTTAAATAATAAAATAAGGCAGTCACATAAAATATTTTATATAATAAAATAAAATAGTTACTTTAAATATTTTATATAATAATGATCATAGACACAAGAATATTTCATTTCATAATTTTATACGATCTTAGGACTCAGATATCACCGATGTTGCCAGTGAACGTGATCTAGAGAATTCGGTTTGCGCAGAATCCTCAAAAAAGGAGTTTGATAATGGTTGTTTCTAGAAAGTTTTAATATTTGCAGATTCATCATATCTAGAAAATGTTTACACATAAAAATAGGAATGGCCAGCATTCGAATATTAATTGCTGATAAAATGCTTTTCTAGAGAGAAAAGTAGAAACCGAACTAGACCAAGAAATTGTTGGTGTGGAGGATTTTACGGAAGATGATCGAAAAGTAAATTATTTCGAGCAAATTTTCTACTACTGAAGAAATTTATCATTTGAAGAGAACTTAATGAGATGCTTTTGTGATGTTTCGTAAGACAGTAAACGTCACATGTTAGCAATTATTATGCGGATGTTATCTCCATTTTTATCCATGTTTCTCATTCAGAAATGTAAAATACTTTTGTATAAACTGATGCACGTCTATTCAGGAAGAATTAGTTGTTATAGGCTTTGGTACGATATGGTATTTTACCTGTATGTGTTAAAGTAACACCTTATGATAAAGATCCACAGTTTAATAATATTATGAGTTCCCTGCAAAAGGTGAGAAAACTTGGTTTCATTTTTACTAGAGATAAGAGCAAAAAATTTATAGAAAGTACTGTAAATACGTTACTTTTTATTTCTATTGTCTAGAAACAAGTATAAATAAAAATTAAGGTGCCCAAAGTAGATGGTTCCGATGAAGCAGATATGGAGATTAATAATATGCTCAAGGCTGGGAATGCTTTGTTGAAAAATGAGACGCCAAATGTGTCAATTAGCAAGTCTAACATTTGTGAAAGCTTTGTAAGTAACCACGCTGATAAGAGTGGTCGAGAATGTGATTGTATTGAGATTGAAGAGTTCAAGGTAAAATATCCCGTATTAGAGACAATAGAAATTTATGCGAAGTTCTTTTTATCAGAATTCACCTTTATTTTTAGTATAATGCAATGGAAGAAAAATCTATGTGCAGCAAAGAACTTTCTCAAAACGTTGATAAAGAAATTAAACATACAAAGATGCAGGGTTATATTGTGAGCACAGATGAATCTAGACGAAGTGGACGAGATGATGGAGATAAGTAATGATTTTTTTGTTGTTGATATGACCAAATTTCTTCATTCAAACGTTTAGGAACATTGTAATTATTTTATGAAAATCAGTTGTCTAATATTACTTATAGATTTTCAAACAAATCTATTGACGTAATCCAGCTCTCAGATGATGACGATTATGATGAACCGAAAACGGTTCGTTATTTATTTTTAATAATAAAAGTTAATGTTGACCGTCACAAATCTATAGTCCTTTGTAGCACATCAATGTTCAGCGTTCAATTTCTGATTTGAAAAAAAAAAAATCAGCTTTAAGTGTAAATAATCTGATACATGAAGAAATATATCTGTCATTCAGAATTCATATGAACTTTTACCAAATTATATCCATGTCCATCTCTAGTCGTAGTATTTTTTTTTGCTGATTATTTATGCTCTCTCTGGTGTAGAAATTCATTTGATTATTGCTTTTTGGTAATGATTATTGTTTTATGGTATTTTGTATAAAACACAGCTCATTTTGATCCTTTATGTAAATTAAAGGTATTTTGAGTAAAATTTATTCTCTTATCTGTTCATTCACGTTTCTCATTAATGGATTTAAAGTATAGGCATATTTTGCTATCAGCACTAAAAAATAATTGTCATTAATGTTTTTTCATTCAATTTATAACTTTTGCTTTTTCAGAATTATAACTTCTTAAACGATCATCTTCAAAATAAGCGTTTGTTCTTAACGGATAGTGAGTCAGAATCTGGTAACAAAGATAAAAAAGAAGAGAAACTGCGCACTAAAAGTTTCAAAAATGGCGACAAAAAAAAGAACCGAAAGTATTAATTTCTCTAGATTACTAAGTTCTTCTCTTCTCTGTTTTGGTACAAAAGACTCTGCTGCTAAAATCCGAACTAAATGTGTGTGAGCATATTACACACTTTTCTTAAATATTTGTTTTTTATATGTTTTTAATATTTACAGACGAAAACCAATATATTCGTCAGACTCAGACATTTATGAATCTCTGGAATCGCTTTCCTATGAAAGCATTATCTCTGAAGTGATAGATGTAGATGACATTGTGTTATCTGGCTCAGGCAATGAGAGTACCACATTATCACATAAGGGAATGAAAAGACGCAGAAAGTTTGTTCATATTTCTTTTTAATATCTTCCAAATGTTAGCATCTTTATTGTGTTGAGTTGAAGATCTGTTTATTTCTATTCGCATATTTTAATTGGATTCGGTTCCAGAGTTAAACGAAGACGTGTTCGTATTGATGATGATGATGATGATAATAATAATGAAAGTGATAGTAATGATGGCAGTAATAAGGAAGAGAAAGATGGTGGTGAGAACAAAATGTCAGATGATTCAGAAAGTGATGGAATGAGAGAGAAGTCTGGCAGAAGAAGTACTCGAAAAATCATGAGCAAGGAAAAGTTGCAAAAGGATACAATAGATGCTGAATTGGCAGAAAAAGAGCGGCGTAAACGGTTGGAGGCGAAGCAGAAAGAGGTAGAAACATTTCTATTTCGGTGCAAAATGGTTTCTTGTGTCAGAGTTATTTTGTTACAGCTGTTATATAAGCAGAGCCTTATCTTTAAATTCATAAGCTGTCGCACTTTATTTCATGTTTTGTATGAGAATTTTCGGTGCTAAGTAGAAAACTCATATCATTATCTTCGTCAGATGAGTACCAAAATTTAGCTTAAGTTAATGGCTATCAAGCCATTAATATCTTGCAAATACTCGAAAGTGTAGACTTGTGAATGTCCGAATAGTGTAGTAGCTTCTTTTTTCATAGTAGCTAATGCATTGTTCTTCATAAATGGCGTCGTGCACTGTTGTCTTCAACTTAATGCTTTAGTTTAATGGCATCGAATTAGCAGATGGACCAGATTTAGCGACTGCTCTAAGCTCCTCACCAGAAATGATAAAGAAACAACGTTTGAAAAGCGTTATCTTAGATCCTGATAAAGTAGGCAATCCTCCATGTCCAGTATCAGTGCATTCATCGTTAGTTGCTTGCTTGAAGCCGCATCAAGCTAAGGGCATTCAGTTTTTGTACGATAGTTCAATTGAGTCATTGGAACGATTAGAAAACGATGGTGGTGGGGGTATTCTTGCTCACTGTATGGGCTTGGGTAAAACTCTACAGGTTTACATTCTTATTTTACGAAAAAATAATAATTTTTGAAATATTCGATTGATTAAGATCTTAAAGTTTATCATTATTTCGTTGTATATCTTAGTGTATAAGTGTATCATTCTTGTTTTTTGAAAGCAGTATGCACAGTAAATTATTGAATTCTGTAGAAAATATTGTTCTACTATTTTAATGAAAATACTGACAAAGATCTCTACTCATTATTTGAAACAAATTCATTTTTGCAATTATGTATGAAATATTGCCGTTTTTTTTCTTTATTTCACATTTTTTCTAGATTTTTAATAAGGGGTGTGTGAGTTACAGGTTATTGCTTTTCTGCATACTGTTATGATGCATTCTAAGCTGCGTGATCATATCAGACGTATACTTATTATTGTACCAAAAAATGTAGTATTAAATTGGTACAGTGAATTTGAAAAATGGCTCGATAATGAAAATATTGATAAAAATTTGGCTACAATAAATGTTAGTTTCATAATTATTTCTATTTCAGGTTTGCTTGAGAATGAGCTTACGTTTTAGTAATCATTTCTTTGGAAAATTAGTATTCTTTTTATAGATTTAAAAATGTAATTCAAAATTGAGCAAAAAAAAAATTTGTGGTGGGATGTAAAAAAAGTGTAGTTATTGTGGAAACTGAGTTTGATTGCATCAGCATTTACGAGTTTATGACTTATTCAAAACATAAAAGGGTTGTGTCCATGCTTTCTTATTTATTTTAAATTTATTCTTTTTGTTTGATATTCTTTTTATATCAGTTATGCAAAACCTGAATTTGTTATACAGTCTTGCAATTATTGTATTTCAGGTTATGGAATTAGATTCTTTTAAAGATTATGGATCTAGACGAATTGCTCTACGAAATTGGTTCCAAAGTGAAGAGCCATCTGTCATGATTATTGGTTATGATATGTTTAGGATTTTGACACAAGATCATGATGATAAGGTGTAGTTAAGTTAATGTGTCATTTATTAGTTTTGTGAAAATTTTTAAAATCAACAGGGCAACTTCATACGATCTTCAGACAAGTTTTTAAAACGAACTCAAATTTTAGAGCCGAAGAAAAGTAGATGGGATAAAAAAGTCAACAAAGAATAAAAGACTGGCAAAATTCCAGCCGGAATTTAGAAAATTTCTACAGGATCCTGGTGTGTGTTTTGTTTGCAGTACTTGGTATCTATTCTCTGGCCGTATCATAGTAGTGCTATGCATTAGAAGAGTTATAGTAAGAAATTTTTGCATTCAGGCCCGGACTTGATTGTGTGTGATGAAGCACATAAACTGAAAAATGATGACTCAGCTCTTGCAAAAACAATGTCGAAAATTCGGACTAAGCGACGATTGTGCTTGACTGGAACTCCCCTTCAAAATAATCTTATGGAATGTATGTTTTTTATACTCATTATTTTTCATTTATAGACATGTTTAATCTAAATAGTGAATAAACATTGACTTGGGAAACGATATCAAGTTAAGCATGGGATGTTTTATTCACTATTTATCATTGTAGATAAATCTTTAGATTCGTCAGCACGTTATGTTCAATTTTCTTAAAAAAATTAAAACCATGGGAAATCTGAAGTCTTTTTTGATGAAAATATCTTATTTGGACTAAAGATGACCATGCTGGATTGTGTTTGCAGATCACTGTATGGTAAATTTTGTAAAACCGGGTTTGCTTGGAACTAAAGCTGAATTTGCAAACCGTTTCACAAATATCATTAATCGTGGAAGAACAAAAGATGCGACACCAGTAGAAGTCCGTCGAATGAAGAAGCGCTGTCATGTTCTTTATGAACATCTGAAAAATGTTGTTGACGTGAGTTTAAGTATTTTTACGGGTTGTGATGTATAAAGAGTTTTTCATAGAACGCCTGGAGACCTCATGATAAGATCTTCAGACCTATAATTCCTCGTAGCCCTAAGTCTTTTAGCATGCTATGTTAGAAGGTAATTTATAACCTGAATTTTATATGGTTTTTCAGCGCAAGGATTATCGAGTATTGACGGAAGCGATCCCACCAAAGCAAGAGTACGTAATAAATGTTCGATTGACCAGTCGACAAATAGCATTGTATCGGCGGTATCTTGATGGCATTGCTCCTGAAGGTATTCTGTTAAGTAGACGGCTGCTTCCAGATTATCACGTGCTATCACGTATTTGGACACACCCGTATCAGTTAATTGCTCATCAAATTGAACTTGATAAAAAGGTTATTCAGCCAATTTGGTCTTGTAGCATTTTCGAAGATTTGTTATTCGCATAGTTCTTATATTTGAAATTTTTTTCATTTATAGCGAATTTGGGAAGATGACAAAGATGATATGGATAGTTTCATTGAAGATAATGAAAATGAAACACCGTCGGACTTTGCCGACTCTGATGATGACGTCATCATTTTGTAAGTGTTCTTATATGAGATCATAGAAAGTGGGAAAGAGATTAACTAAAAAGCATGTCTTAAATTTTGATGTGGACAAAATAGCATCTATTATAAAGATTTGTACGTTTAAAAGATTTTAATCTCTGAATATGTGACAAGGAATGAATGATTACCCACTCAAGAATAAATGATTCAGATCCTAGGGCTTAAAACAAATTTCAGTCTTCAGTTTTATTTATTTATCTCAATATCTCAGATTTTTAGAAACATATGTTTCTATAGTAGCTTTATCATTTTGCAGAGATGACAATGATGAGCCTGAAACAAGCAGCAAGCTAAATGTACCATCACGAAAGTCGCGTAGACTTGCTGGTCAGGACACAGATTTGGAAGAAAAAGAAACTGTTTTGGAATGCAATGAGTGGTTTACAACCTCTGGTTTAGTGAGTGAAAACGATCGAAATGATTTTTCACTCAGTAATAAACTAACTCTACTGATTGAAATTATCAAGAAAAGTGAGGGTATTGGAGATAAATTGTGAGTTTTTCCATTTGCGCTCAAATAATCTATCACTTTATAGTTCTTATATCTCGCTTTAAAAGTACAATCAAATTTCGATGTTTGTGGCTAAGTTTCATGCACCAAATTTTTTTCTCACAATCTTTCGATATGTACTGAATTCTTTGTTTCCCTTTATTTGTTATTCACAGTGCGTATATTCTCTACGAGATATTAGCAGTGGCTTTAAATATTTTGATATATATCATTTTTAGTCTCTTAGTAAACATTACAATTTTAGATTAGTTTTCTCACAAAGTATTGAATCTATTGTATTGATCAAACGGATGTTGCAATATATGGATGAGAATGGTCTCTGGTTTATCGATGGTCATGAAGCAATGAAAGCTGCTAACGAAACGTGGTCCTGGAAAGAAGGCTGTGACTTCATGGTTTGTCATATTTTAGGATGTTCTACATCCATTTGAAGTGACTTGCTTGTACTTAAAAATTTCCTTAATTTCCAGTTTGTTTCCAGTGCTTATATACTGTTCTCTGCGAGATAACAGCAGTGGCTTTAAATATTTTATTAGAACAGTATATAAGAACTGTAAATGGTTTACTCATAAAACTATTTGCATTTGCGTTCGGGGATAAAAACAAGTCATTATTGTAACTGGCGAAATGGGTTTTTCGGTATCAGGACTCTAAATTGATCTTTGCGATGATTTTTGATGTTTTAAAAAAGTTATTAAAATCACATTTCTCGTTTGAGGTTTTTTTTTTTAATAGGTGATTGATGGACAGGTACAAAGTAGCAAGCGGCATGAAATACAGACAAAGTTTAATGATCCTAACAATTTACGGCAAGTTTTGATATTTGTGTAAAAATGTGAAAAAGTAATTGGAAGTCTTTTAGCAGCAAGTAACTTTCATGTTGAAAGAGTTTAGTCTGATAAAGAAGAGAAATGCAAGTCAAGTCATATAATACTAATTACAATGTTTGATTGTAATCAAATCAGTCACTAAAAATGAATTATCAAGGATGTGGCACTCTGTTGCGAAAATATTTTTACATATTTAAAGTTTCAAATTACTGCAGTTCTCCCGAATTTTCCATATGAAAAACTTTCAGTGCTCGTTTGATGCTGATTTCGACGCGTGCTGGTTCACTAGGAACTAATATGGTTGCTGCAAATCGGGTTGTTATTTTCGATGCATGCTGGAATCCTTCTCATGATACACAGTCATTATTTCGAGTTTACAGATTTGGACAGACAAAACCGGTTTACATCTACAGGCTTATTGCTCAGGTAGTTGTGTATTTAAATAGTGTCAAATTTTTTATCGTTACATTTGAAGGTTCAGTTTTTTAACGTGATTCTTTCAAAATTTAGGATTTTCATAGCTTACTGAGGCAAGTTGCTAATAAACTCTTTCTTGCAAATTCTTGAAATCCATTTTTTTATAGCTATATTATCTACTTTGATCATTGAAGGGGACAATGGAGGAGCGAATTTATAAGCGGCAAGTGACAAAAGAATCAACATCTATGCGTGTCGTTGATGAAGCGCAAATCGAACGTCACTTTGCTGGTCATGACTTATTGGAGCTCTATAAGTTTGATCCAGAGGAATTGAACCATTCGGATGTTCTCACAAAAAGGCCATTAATGGCTCCACCAAAAGTGATTTTTTGCATAATATTTTTTTACTTATTTTGCGTTATTTATTTAAAGCTGATTCTTAACTTCATAAGATGTAATAAATATTATTTTTTTATCAAATTCGGTTATATTTTGTTTGGTACCAATTTCAGGATCGTTTACTTGCTGATATAATTTTGTCCCATAAGGATGCTATTGTAAACTATATTCAGCATGATTCATTGTTCAAAAATCTAGAAGAAGAGAAACTGACGGATCAGGTAGTTTTGTTGCTCTTTTAAATTGGTCTAGTTTTCTCCGTTTAAAGTTCTTGCCTATATTTAAAGGGATTTCGTTTCTCATCCTGTTGTTTTTTTGGTCATCTTCCTTCCTGAATGAACTCGAGTGCAAACGATTTCTTGATCTATTTGTGATATTATTTTATCTCTCTATGGCTAGTACAGGATTTTATTTTCAAAATTATATCATCTTGCTGTCCTACAATGATGGTATTTTGAAAATAATGACACATCATATATTGTTGCTGGGAAGAAACAGTTCTGTTTGCAGGAGTGTAAAGAAGCTTGGGAAGATTACGAGCGGGAGAAAATTAATCCTAATAAAGGGTCATATAGCAGCTTAATGCAGCAAGCACAAATAGGAACATATGCATTTATTGGACAAGGTTGGACAATTTCCAATATCATTTGGAATAAATATCTGGCACCTTTTTAAAAATATGGCCATTTAAATTTAAACTGTTTTTAATCTCAGAAATATGGATAGTTTAGTTTTACTCAAGATCGCCAATGACATGTTTCGTGGTTTCCAATTATAGTGCAAATGTTTATGGTAGTATAACTTTTGTGATATATTAGGTTGCATGATTCTATCATTTTTTAACATAGAGATTAGAACTTAATTTTTATTTTGTGGCACATTCTTACACGACAAAATGTATCCATTTTTTTCATCAGGAAAGGGAAGATCAAGCACCAGTGTTCTTATCTACTTAGTTATTGAATTTCAGTTTCTCACATTATTTTTTTCATGTTTAGGATCAATTCCAGATGAGATGTACACTTGCATCATCATTTTCCTTTAGTTGGTTCAGTTAATTATCATATGTTAGTTTGGTGTCATAATACTTGTATTTATATCAGGTAGTGAGAATTTTCAAGCGATCTTTGATGATCCTGTTTATCTGGCTTCATTCCAAATACGAGGCATGGATAGTGATGTAGCTCAAAAAATCACTTTTATGAAAAAGTTTGTCTTATTTTCTATCGTCACTTCATGTCTATCATTGAATGATTGTAAATCTTTTATGATTATGAACTTCTAAATACTTCAGAAAACTGTAAGACGTTTTGAGTTTTATTAGGCATGCAATTTATTTAAACACTGAATGTAGTAGTGTTTCTAGTCATTCAGTTGTCATGATCAGTTAACTTTAAAGTCACGAGTATCAGAATGAAAATACCTTTTTGAAAGGTTTCAAAGAATGCATCAGTATTTTAGTAGCATTTTAGGAGTTTGGACTTGTTACTGCCGAAAATTCCAATGCAACTTCGTGGTGGTATGAATGAGTTTACGGCTTACTTTTTGGCTGTGATATCTGTAAGTGTTACCCATTACTGTTGAGAGCATAAAATCGATTTTCTTATTACGTGGAAAATATGAGTCCATTATGGGATGAGTAAATATTTTGACAAAAAACTAGAATATTGTTAGTTGTGTGCATTAAACCAAATTAGAGATAAAGTAATCTTTTGTATATGGCATGAAGGAGGCAAATTTGCTAATGTTGGTGGTAGTAGGATAATTTAAGGTAATGAAATCATGGTTCTTTTTTCGAATACGAATTTGGATTGAATGAAATTCTTCATTCATTTCTTGTGCTTTAAAAAGATTTCTTTTAGGAAGGAATGAAAGCTGGAGAAAGTAAAGACTGGCTTTATAATAAGGTTATTCACATTTTTCGAACTGTTATTGCAATGGTGAAAAGCGAGCCACTATGCGTCCCAGTGATTCAGTATCTTCAGTGTGCAGTGCCCCAATTTTTCGAACCAAACGAGATTGGTTTCGCATATATGTCATAGTGTTTCTTTTCCACAATGTTGATCTCTTGTTAAAAATGTAACGTCTTTACTAACCACTTATTGTTTCTAAACACTGTGAATATACTTGTCAAATATTTCAAGTGCATATGTCAGTTACCAAATCAGTTTAGTCAGGAATTTCGCAGTAAGTAGTACTTAGTGAAGTATGAAGTGGATGTGTTTCGTAAGCTGTAAAGGACTCAAAATTAGTTAAATAAATTTTAAAAACATGTAAGGCTTACTGAAAGTGATTTACAACTTTTACTTTATGATTTTTATTCATTCTACACAAAAATACATGTGTGTGAAATATATTTTTATACCTACGTGACGAGCATGTAGGGTACTTTGATTGGTTATATTGAATGTGGTGTAAACAATAAAGAGTATCGGAAACTTATCTCTGTTAACATTTATATCGCTGCTGCTTGTTCAAAAAAGATAATCTAGAAGAATTTTTTATTGAAAGATCGGTACGTCCACAACTTTTCAAATAAACTTATATTTTTCCACGTGTGCTGTACATTCCATTATTATAAAGTCAACATACAGAGAGATGAATACAAAAATATGGGAACAAACAGTGTATGAAGCATCGATCAGGATTTCATTTTGACTGGGAAAGACGACTTCTAAATTGGAAAGATCTATAAGCAAATCTAAGTAGTTTTCTTGGAGCAAGTTCGAGTTGTTTACTCTGTCGGTTACAATGAAATAATACTACTAGACTCATGCAGTGGTTATAAATGATTGATGGTGACGATGAGATGTAGCTGGGAGTAGCTAACTACCCAATTCTAGAAAGAGTTGTAGGATATTCGTGGATTGCAGTTCAGGAATTCATGGAAGCAGCATTCGTGTGAATATTACTAGGTGAGCGAGAAATTGGTAACTTTATTTTTGTCCATTATTTCGTTCACACTGTTTGGTTGAATTTATGTAGCGCAAATGAAAGTAACTTATTTACAAAGAGTGATAACAAAAAAACAAAGGTGATTATTGCAGAATGACTTTGGCAGTAGTGACGGAAACCCTTAAAATCTTGCGCAGCTTTGGATATAAAAATAAATCTCTTTGCTTCTTATGATCGTCCCTAGAATAAAGTGCCGCAAAAATCAAACAGTGTTGAAAATGAATAAACGAATCATTTTGTATTTGCAGCTTACATTCTAAAAATACTTGAGACTATCAAATAATTCATGAATTAATTCTATCCCGAAATTAGTTAGTTCTCTATTTTCTTAAAAGAAATGTTTCGTGTTTTATGAACAAGTTTAAAGATCCTAAACAAATGTAGAAAAATATATACCTCAGTATAAGTTTCGGGTTCTGCGAGTGGAGCTTGTGGAAGCAAAACATAGCCAGGTGTACCACTTGAATACCTTCTCACTGCTGTTGGTGATGAAGACTTGATAATTTCATACCGCAGTGGAGATGATAGTGTATTTTTTAATTTCTGTAGTAAATCGGATAAATACAGTATCATATCAATAGCTCTATGACTAATTTTTTTAAAATAAAATCAGTAGCTACACAGAATTACTTCATTATTATTTGTTGCAAACGTTGTTCACAAAACTTTTTAGTGAAGAGATACATACACCTTTGATTTGCGACTGTATTATTATTAATAATATAATTAATTATTACTCATCTTTTCTCACTTTAACAATGATGATTGAAAAGATTATCACGCAATATTTACCTGCCATTTTGTCACTCCAGGTCCTTTAATACATGTTCTGCAAATTCGAAACTGCATGAAAAATGGAATAGGCAAAAGCGGTAGCATCGCTGTCGCCCATCCAACTGCTTCTGAATATTTCCATTCGTGAACTCCCGAAGAATAGATTGAATAATCATAGTCAATTAAATTCAGTGCCGCAATTGCCTACAAAATTATTTCATGATATATAACCAGAAATTTGCGATTGATCATGTAATCTGATCTCAGTAAATATTTATCAGTGCTATCTGTGAGTGGCTGATCATGATCTAAGAGCAGTAATGATCAAAATTTTTAAATAAATATTATTGACCTAGACAATACTGAAAAAAAAAAAACTTTATTTCATTATCGCTTACTACTAAATTAAGTTCTTAAATCATAAATTCACATATGATTGAATGAATTGATCAGTCAGATCAAATCAAAAATACAACTTACCGCGGGGATGATTGGTAGAAGGTATACAAAGTAAAGAAGAAAATGACCAAGACACCAGCAGCAGCAAGCCTGTGGTAACATAGTATGCAAATCTTTACCAAGACGATGTGCACCTGTAAAATGTAATCATTTCTAAACTATTATCCTTCAATAACTGTAAATAATAACTACAAGTCACAAATATATCTATGATATTCATCCTTCCACAATATAAGAATCTTAATCTAATTTCACCTAATTATTTTTGGTGTCTGAAGCTATTTTGATATACTTATATTACACTTCATTTTTAACTAAGATTTTTTTGGCTTCACGGGAGCCACAAATTTTCTTTCTTCAAAAAGTATACCATACTGAATTTAAAAAATATACTGAATTATTGTATTTACCAAATATTTTAACTAAAAAAAATCATAATAACATAGAAACTTACAATAAAACCATCCAACTGACAATATCTCGAAAAAAAGTATGATCCATAACGTTACATACTTCAAATAGCCACTAACAAGCTCATAAGCAAAGCGGCCACCCTAAATTTTATTAGTATAAAAAAGTTTTCACGAGAAGATTTTTGATAGAAAAACAAATAAGCGCAAAATAGAATATCTAAACATTTAGCTTACAATTTTCAATGAATCAATTTTTTACACTACAAAATTTGGAAAGTAAATTAAAATGCTAAACAGAATTGAGCAAAAATCAAATTTTCAAGCAGATATGTTTTAAAAAACTTTGACCTGCGTCGCAAAATAAAGACTGGCACCAAATGCGGTAGAGCATATAATAAGTGCCAACATGAATCGTGGGAAGCAACGAGATGATTTTTCACCCAAAGCATCTTCAGACGTCGCCAAAATATTCAACGTGAGAAGATACTGTAAAAGGATGATAAATAAGCACGCAGTTAACGATTCTTCACTATAATGTGCAATATTTCAGAAAAGGTTTATATCAATTCGTTGATAAAAGTTTAGTGAATGCCAAAATATTTGAGAATGTAAAACTCACAAAAACATTGAGTAAAACAAAAATGCACATAAATAAAAGTATTGCGCTCCATATTCGGGTGTCGGGCACATATGACATGTAAGCAAGGATGTGCCACATTTGCGCTTCTCCTGTAAAAAAAGATAACTTTCAAGTTAGGTATGATATTTTATTTTATTTTATTTTATTAAAAAAAAACATACTGTTTACTTAACTACGGACGTGAAAGTCCCTTTTGCTCCGAAATAAAGCATAATCCAAAAATAAAATAAAAAATCACCATTATTCAATATTTTTAATAATAGAAATTTCTTAGCTGAGTAATTACAAAAAAAGCACTAAATGAAATTAAAAAGTAAAAACACCTTGATCAAGAAGCTCAGCTGGTTGCAAATTAAGGCGAAAACATAAATGCCCGAGGAATCCGATTACTGTGAGTAATTGCATTAAAGTCAAAACAGCATGACCAAAAAGGATTATCCAAGCATCACTACAAAAGTATGGAGTTTAAATAAGACGTCACAAGTCATTGTATATATCAGTTTTCAACGAATAAACGGAAGCGCGTTTTATCATTTATTCTAAGTTATATTTTACTTGTAAAAGTTTTCTGATAATAAGTGAAGAAAAAAGTTTTTAAAGCTTTTTCAAAATGGTAATTACACTAATAGCATATTAAATACTGATTTTATTACATAAGAACTTAACAAATCACAGAAATAAAACAACTAAAATCAACATACCTAACCAAATTGTTCGAGCGCTTGTTATATGAAGCAATGGTAATAAATGTTCCAAAACCAACTCCAGTAGCAATGATTGCCTGCTCTATCGCAATTTTCCACATCTGCAAAAATTGAAATAATAACCTGCAAAATTCAATTTTGAATGTTTTCGGCGATTTTTCCTTCAGATTATATCACAGTTAAATTTGCATAGATTAGTTCAAACCAAATTAGCTCATAATTTGTATGATCAAATTTTGTTGTTTATTATTTCTAAACGCATGTAAAAATAAATAGATCTTTTCTTGGAATATTCGGTACTATAATATATCCCAAATTTATTGTTGTTATTTGAATATTAAAAAATATAAGAAAGACTTACTTTATAATCAGCCATTCTTTCCCAATTAGTTGTTTCGTAAAATTTTATCAACATTTCCGGAAAACCTTGAAGAGTTAGCGCACGTACCATAAGTAATGATAATAATACTAGAGGCATTATAAAGGTAAAATGTGTAACCTGAAAATAAAAACATTTCCAAAGCATAATTTATGCAATCCTCGGAATTGTTTTTTCTGCTACCAAAGAAATGCGAATTAATTTTCTGATAAAATTTTGACCTTTCCCAACCACCGAACACCAAAGCATGTTGCTATAAAGACCAATATCCAGACTGCTCCCATAGAAGCAAGAATGTAGTACTGAAAATAACCTGGTTCTGCTATGTTGCTAGATGGTCTTTCCAGCATCCTAAAACTACTTCTTAAATTAAAATAGATAACAATTTGACAGAGGATTGTAAAAGTTTTTTTAAATAAATGATAAATTATTTCTTCAAATAACACAAAAATCATTTTTATATTATTATGTCAAAAACAAATAGCACTGATAATATCTCGATTAAATTTAAATTAAAAGCTGTTGATAATATTTAGCACTGTTTCAAAAAACTAACGTCATAAATTGAACGAGCGATGACTGAGCACTGATTGTGCTTAATCTTGTAGCACTAATATGAGAAAAATTAGCCAGTGAGCCTGCTTCTTGACATGGTAGTGAGTGGAGCTCAGGAAAATTTTTGCAGTGTAACCATGGTAAACCTGAAAACAGTTTGTTCGGTAGCGCTAAAAAGCATGGTATTAGCAAAATATTTACCTGATCTCCCAGCCAGTAAGGCCCAAAAAAGATGAAACAAGTAAAGCATAAGCCAAGCCAGATAACGCGTCATATACGCCAACAAAAACAATGAAAATATTATCTGGGAGACACCAACACCTGGAAAAAAAAGAAATTAAGCAAAAATTCCACAAATAATATATGCATTAAAAAATCACTACTGCATTCAATATCCTTACTTCTTCAAAAGGCAAATTAAGTCCTGTATACAATTTAATATTAAAACATATGTATTACAAATAGCGTCAAATTCTATTGAGAAAGACTAAATAATGTTTAAATCTTGGAAATTATTATCAGTTATTAGTTAACTTTACATTTTATTACGTATATTTGTAAAGCAGTCATCGAATCTTAGACATAGTTAAAATTAGCACAAAAACAAAGAATTGAAAGGGATTAATTTTATTAACGAATATTCAACCAAGTAAATTTAGATTTTTTCTCAATTGAAAGTAACGATAACTGTAGTAATCAGATCATGCTTATCAAGGGAAATGTTGCCATATGAAGAAAAGTATTAAAGAAACTTTGGTGCATTACACCAATGAGTTTGATCCTAAACAACCGATATTCATCAAGCAATCAACTCTAATGTATAAAATGAAAAAATCAAAAAAAAACTAGCATTCAAATTGTGCAATAGAATGTGTCAAACTGCATTTCAGCTAAAGTTCCAATAATAAAGCAAATAAAAATATGATTAAATGCAAAAACTTCTAAGACTTCTGAATGTTACCCTTGAAAAGAGGGCACATATTGTAGAGTGCTTTTACTGGTGCACGACCAGTGAGTTGCCCAACCGAAAATTCCATAATAATAAGTGGAAGGACGCAGACAAGTAATGATGCGCCATATGCAGCAATGAATGCCACTATAATGACAAAATTAAAAAGAAATATGAATGTGAAAACACCGCAGACATCTATCTATGCACAGCACATTATTGCCCTATGACCTTTTCTTGGACGCATTATATATTCTTACCAACATTTTTTTGAAAACAAATTGTTTACATGGTTAATTTATGCACTATGCACTATGCACTATGCACTTATGCACTTATGCACTTATGCACATATTGCACCCGTTTATAAGAAAGTTTGAAAGCTTAATATTAACCACATCTATACACCCCAAATATTGATCTGTCGACAAAAACAAAAAATTTATATAGCATAATGAAGATATTTATTTATTTATCTCTATAATTTGTGCAAAGAAAAAGGTTTTTAACTTAATAAAACTTACGTCCGCCATTATCAAGTATTAACTTAGGCAAATTGAGAAAATTCGTGGTTGCAAACACATAAGCAAGTGAAGCAATAATCATATCAACTTTCATAGACCACAGATCTCGCCACTCTTCAACAAGCATTGACGACATCTTCAAGTTCGACCAGCTTCGTTCCTCAAACCACATAATCAGCCCTGCCTCGACCTAAAAATAATAAGATCATTTCAAACTATCGCTGCAGCACTTTAGGACTGAATTATAGACTAAGCCTTTCTGTGCAACAATTCAAATGCCTAGAAGTAGTAGGTAAGATAATTTAGACATTTACTGTTAAGGATATAAATGCTAGCTGTGAACTAAAGTGACCTCAGAGAATAAACAAAAGTAATGGCCAAGAAGAAGAAAATAGTTAGTCTTTAAACAGTTAGACTTGGAGTTGCGTCTCAAAGTTGCAACTGTAGCAAAGCAAGAATGCAAATCAATTGTAAATAGATTATAGATTACTAGAGTAAATTACTAACTTTCTTGGCAAATAACAAGCAAATATGCAAATTTTGAAAAAACCCTGTGACTGCACACAAAAAAACACAGCTACACAAGCATACGCACAAAAAAGTATGTGCACATGCGCGTTTGCACGCCCTCAAATATTCAGTACCAATAAACTGAGGCCTCAAGAAAAAGTGCACGTAAGTGCGTGTATGCGCACAGCATGACATGCAGAGGGATGATGTTTTGCAATATTACAAATTTGACCGTTCCAAATTTCGAGAAAATTTCAGTACCAATAAACTAAGGCTTCAAGAACCTTAAATTTGGTACACTGCCGAACTTGAGTTGAATGAAAGCCTAGACAGAAAGCACAAGCTAATTTATCTCGAAATTTCACAACCAAGAGTTAAACATATACGTGCACATAAATATGTATGTGCGGAAACATACAAATGCACGCATGGCTGAGAAGACGACGGTGCTCGTTTGCACATGAACATTCATACGTAGACTTGCATACCATATACGCTCGTAAATAAAATCACATTTGTATGCTTACACATGCAGATCTGTGTACATACGCATGCAAACGTGAGTATAAACACTCACGTACACCACTGGGCGTGCATCGTATATATTAAATTAAAGCAGTTATTTCATAACAGTATTATATGAATATAAAAAGTGTATACTTGAGATATATTTATTCACTTACGAGACAATTATCTATTTTTGGCACATCAAAAAGGCGTGGGTCGCAAGGATAAACTGATCGATAATAGAGCAACTACTTTTCCACTAACATCTTATCACCATGATACGTATGATTCTGATTTTTAACTTATACAGTAACTTGCAGCAACGCTAATGTTGATCTGAGAATAACTTACAGACTGATTACTTTGTTTTATTATATCATTCAACGATCTACAATAATCTTTTGAAAAACAGAATAATCTGTTCAAATTACATACTAGTCTATGCCTTCAAAGTGATGCCATTTTTAATGTGCTACTGTACTACAGTACGTAATGAGATTGCTATAATTTGAAGCTATTTCCCATGATAGTAAGGGAAGAAGAAGAGTTGGAAGAATAAAATTATGTCAAGTCATCAAAAGTAGCTTTAAGAAGAAGTAAGCAAGAAGTACTTACGTGCTTGTTTATCCACTTAATTACACTGACCAATTAATTTAATTCTATTATTTACTTACTAACTTACTTACACTTACTTTTTTAAGATTATACTCGTTACAAATATAAGAAGAAATAAATTAACAGTTGCACTCGTGTAAGAAAAGTTTTTTGCATTCTTCAAGTCAGTCATTTACTTTCTCTCATTTTCGCTTTTTTACCAAATACTAAATGCATTCTCTTTCATCCGTCGAATACATTTTTATGTAAAAAATTTATTGTGGCTCATCTAACCACTTTTTTGGGTCAAAGTTCAAAAATATTACTACTTATTTTTTTTAAATTGTCAAAAATCTTTTTATGGATACAAATTGAAAAATACTTTAATTTGTTACTTACTATGTACAAAAATTGTGACAAATATGTGAAGATAATTAAATACCTAAATTTTAGAGCAAAACTTACGAGCTATAAAAAAGATAATTTAGCACATAAATTATACTTTATTCTTAATTATGCAAACTTTGAACTTTCCTTTGTTTTCATTAATTGCATTTACAGCAGATATGATTCAAACTAATGTCAAAAAAGTCTAACATTTCAAGTAGATTTGAGTCTATTCGTAATTTCAGTCTTTATCTATTGTATACAAAAATTAGGTTTTGAAGTTAGTATTCATCAGCTGAGTCTTGGGATTTTAGTTCTTTTGTAATTCTTCTAAGTTTTATTTGAGGCTATAATTTGAAAAAACCATTTGGTCTAAGTAATCAATTTTATGTTGAATTTCAAAATATATCACAAAAATGTAGTAAGAAACGAATAAAATTTGAGGGGTAATTAGCTGAGAATTAATTTAGAGATCAATTTGTTGCAGTCCTTCGAGAACTCAAAGGATTTACTGTGATTGTAACTTTTACATTTTACTGTATTTTACTGTAAAATAATAGGTGATGCCAAGGTATCCTCATTAAATTGGCAATTTGAATTACAAAGATACACTTTACAAGAAAATAAAATCTCATAATTCACATCTCATTCTCTAGGGTTCATAAAGTTTCTCAATAAATTCCCAAAACTCATAAAATTCACGAATTCTCAAAGTTTATAATGTTTAGAAACATATCCTTTTAATTCGGCAAGTCCATAAAGTTTACAAACAAATTCTCAGTATTAGTTAGTAAAGGAAACAAAACTTAGTTGAGCACAAGAACAGATTTAATCTAAAACATATTTCTTCATGTTTACTGCAGGATTTATATTTGCATAAAGTGCGAGCAAAATTATGCATATTTTTTTAAAAGGAAACTACTACTAACTTTCGAGTCAGAAAATTACTTTTGCTGATTTTTGCAGTGAAAAAAAAATCCTTTTAGGGTGAAAATTCTGAATGCATTGCCTTTTTCTAATTTAAATTTTGACAAGTTTCAAAAATTACTTCTTATTTTTTAGAATTTATTCAAATAAATTTTTCTTACAGCGTAGAATGAGAAAAATGTAATTACAATAAAACATTGCAAGCTTTTCTTAATTGTAATAAAGTATAATCAGTTAAGTTTTCCAATATGTCTAAAGCTCATTTTCCGAAATTTGAAAGAAAAACGCTTGCAAATTAAAAATTTGGCTTAAATTTAAATTTTTAGCTTAGCCAATTTCCAAAGACTAAAATCGTTCGTTTAAAGTGAAGATACACATTGCTGCACATAAAATTAAGCCAAAAAAGGATAACCAAACATGAAATGAGTAGAAAATGAGCTTTAGACATATTGGGAATCTGAGAAATTTATATATCATTGAAATATTGGTTTTGTTTTTTGAGAAATAATTCATTTCAGCAATGTAATAATTGAGTAATTTAATTGCATAAAACATTTTCATTTTTTCAGAGCAAACTTCCTCATCTCAAATCAATTATTAGATAATATTAACTGAAATACTCAATAACTGATATTTTAAGGAAAAACATTTCAGTGTTTGCTAGTTTTTTATTGCAGAAAAAGTTCTTAAAGGAAATAAAATTTTGCTTAAACGTAGAAAAGGAATGAAATTTCCGTTCCGTATAAGCAATAATAAGATAAGATAAATAAATTCAAGTAAAAAGAAGAATAATTTGATCGAAAACACATGTGCATAGCATATGTTAGCTTTTAATAGATTTCCATTACTTATTTCTGCTTGTAGCATTCATATACTGCCATTTATCGACATATCAGCTTAAAGTAAGCTAAGCTACAATCAAAGATAGACTGAAGAATTTTAACCAATTTTTAAATTATTATCCGCTTCATACACATATACTTACTTATTTATTTATCTATTTTTAATTTAATTGAATTTTTTAAAATTTATTAAAAAAATTGTTTTACATTGAATGAATGAATGCAAGCAAGTTATTACGGCATGTGAAGAATTGCTGCAATTTTCGAGCAGTTTTGTCGAAGAATATTTGTTGAACAAAAAATTGGAACCGTTGTGATAATACTAAGTATATTTGAAGAAGGTAAGTAAAATTTTAGAAATTAGCGCAGATTAAAACTGAAAAATGGAAATGCCTTCAGTTTTACTACTAGCAAACTTTCGCTGCGTTAATTTCTATCAATCTTTCATTTTAGCTCGTTTTATGTCATTTTTAAAACTATTCTAAATAAATAAAAGAGAATAATTTCAAGTTACCAACCACAAAATTGCAATAAAATATCAAAAAAAATTACTTAGTAAATGCTTTAGAAAAAAAAGAACGAAAATGCAAAAAAAAACACAATATTTGTCCTTAAAAAACAAGTGTAAAATGTAATATTATTGTAAGGCTAATACTTTCGTAGCAGTTTAATCCTTCAAGTCATTAAAGTACTTTTACTAATTCAGAATCCAGAATAAATCTTCTCATTTCATTCTACGCATAATAAATTTGAATTCAAATTACTGCAAAAATGTATGCAAATACTTACTACATTACATTCCATTACATTGCATTGCATTGCATTGCATATTACAGCTAAAACAGAACTTAGCAGTGTTCTATAAAGCAGAACAAAAAAAAGAAATGAGCTAAAAAGTTGAAAATTTTTACAACTTTCTTCGTTTGTTTGTTGCATTGTTGGAAAGTTTAAAAGAGGAAGAAAGATAAGAAATGTTAGCAAAATTAGATGAAAGTTTTTGAAAGTCATACTCTTTCTTCAAATATTATCACTGATAACAAACAATTAACAATTTTATCAAACGATCACTAAATCAAAATTAAATAAGCTCTAAAGAACATCACAGCAAACTTTTGCAAATAAATATAAATTGAGATATTCAATTTTTGTAGATATTCACTAGATCACAAGAAGATCAAATCCGATACTGCCTGTATTATCCATCAAATCAGTTCTTTCAAATGATCAAAATTGATGAAATAAAGCTTGAATATATACCTCTTAGCATAGCTTACAATACTCTGATTTTTTCTTTTTTATTTGCAAAAATATTTTTGTTCTATTCCTCTTTATTATTTATACCAGCAATTAATAATAGGCTTTTCTAGCGTTCTAGGACCTATGCAGTAGTTAGTTTGGAGTTATA